GGTGGTGTTTGGTTAAAACAAAAACAAAATTATTCATATTTTAGAGAAATCGAAGTAAAATTATATAGATTTTGGGGACCAGGATACTAATTTATTTTATATATACTCAAAATTACATGAAAGTGATGAGATTTTTCAAAGGCTTGGGGTGGCCAAAACACTAATTCATTTTTATAATTTCTGAAATTTGCATAAAAATAATGAAAATTTTCAAAATTTTGGGCAGCAAAGATAAAATTATTTAGATTTTGGATGGGCTGGAGTAAAATTATATTAAATTTTGAAGGGGCCAAAACGCAAAACTCTTTTATAAATATTCCAAATTGCATGATAGAAATGTGATATTTCAAAAGTTTGAAATGTTACTGAAAGCTGCTTCTAAAATTATGAGTATGTGACAAGGAAAGTGGCTTAAGGGAAGACAAGTCTAGTCAGTGGTGCATCATTGCTCATTGAGTATGAAGTTAAATTTGCATGTATTGATTGCAGTTCTTGCCCTGATTATCTCATGTTTTTCTTGTATTCTCTCACACAATTATCATCTTTTTGTCATTCATGGTTATAGATTATAACTACATTTTGGTAATTGGTTTTTTTAAACATGATAATGTGGCGATAGAATTTTCATTGTGATTCAAACTTGTCAGAGTTTCATATATGTTTCCTTTCTTCTTCTTCTTCCTCTTTTTTTTTGGTCATCATTTTCTTGATTATTTATTTATTTATATGCATTTTTTACATTGGGCTTCTCATAGGTTCATGAAGTGAGCATTGTGAAAGTTGTTTGGGTTCCTCCAGAATATGGTGGTGGAGTTGCATGCATTTGTGCAGATGGAACTTTGTCATTGTGGGAGGAGGTTGCTGAAGGTATCCAATGAATTTTCTAATGCATTTTCTATGTTATTTACACCCAGTATCATAGTCTAAAATTAGGCAGTGTTATACATTGACCAATTCTTTTTCATTTGCATTTAATATGTTCATCTTAGGAGCAACTTTGTAGGTAACTCTTTGCTCTGGGTTTCATTTTGGTTTGTTCATTGTTTGTTCTCTTTACTCTTCTCTCTGATAGATTTTTATATGCTTTTTTTGTAATCTTTTCATTTTAAGCCAAAAACACCCATCTTTGTGGCTCATGATTAAAAATACAACTACCTCATCATTGTAGATGAGTTTTCTGTTTAAAAATTCTGTTTGTGTACCCATTTTCCTGTCTAATAATCAGGAAAAATATTACTCAAGCTTAGTATGCTGGAGAGCCTCCCATTTTGTGGCCTGTGAACAAAAGCCTCACTGTTATTTTGAACATTGTTTTGTCATTCTATAGATACAAAACCCCTTCAATGGAAGCTTTGCAAAGGCTTTGAGACAAGTTCAAATCAAGTGCTAGATATGCAGTTTGGACCCTCATTCACAATTTTGAAGTTGGTAGGTATTGGCAATGGGTATCACCTTAGTTTTTCTTCATTTAATTTCTTAGAACTGCATATGGGGAATCAAGTTTGCTAGCCCTGTCAATGAAAATATGGTAATTTTTGTATTAATTTGTAGTAAAAAGAGTTTCCAAGCCTATTGATCAAAAAAAAAAAGTTTCCGAAAAAAAAAAAAAAAGAAGAGTTTCCAAGCCCTTTTTGGCTCTAAATGGTTTTGGGGTTTTCAAGCTTCTATATGTTTCTATAATTTAAGCTGCTTTTTAAAAGGCACTAATTTTATCAAAATTTTTATTTCACTATCCTTTTAGTTGTAGTGTTCTATGGCAACACAGTATGATTAGAAATTGTAAATTTTCATTTTGATGATGGCATATTTTGCTATGGTGTTTTGTTTTACTTCCTTTACAGGTTGCTGCATATTCAAACAGCCACATGAAAGTGTAAGAGCTCCTAGGTCCATTGAAACTGAAGAATTGGCAACTTCAGGTGCTCTTTGTAATTCTATAATGTTACAACCTATATTACATGGACTCTTAAAAATAAATCAAATACTCGTGTGACGTGTTGCAGAATCAACACTTGGACAAGGGTGCAAGATATTCTTATGTATTTGTTAACCATCTCAGGCAACTAAATTCAAGTATTAAGTTGATGAACAGTGTTTGCCAGGCATTGCCACCAAGCTGCACTGTTTATGCTACAATATGTAATATATGTGATGAATGCATGTACATAATATACATGTATAATGCTTATTGGTTTTCTTTGGTATTTTGACTCATACATATTTTAATATGTGTCCGAAACTAATATTTTGTAATTGTTTCTCTAGGCAGAGTTTTAGAATGTTATTGATTCCGTCTCCAAATTTGGAAAGGCTGCATGCTTGTCTGCATGTCTCTTGGACTCCACAAAGAGGTGAAAGCCAGCAATTGATCTTTGTTCTTGGTTTCAATTCGAATGTAATGCAACTCAATTCTGCCAAGGTATGTTAAATTCGGTATGTCCTTCTTCTTTGATTCTTTTTGCTAATATATATATGAGAGAGAGAGAGAGAGAGGTGATGAAAAGACTTTTGATTGGTTTTGATATATAGTGGAGTAAAGTTTTTCTTTTTTTCGCTTATAATGTTTTTAGGGGTGATATTTCCCTTACCAATAAGTTGATTATCTAAAAGCTGAATTCTACTTTTTTATTATCAGTTTTAACCTATAATAAACTGCACCAAACAAGACCCAAGTGAGTATTTCGGATTTATTTTTTTAGTATTTTTTTGATTTTTAGTATAAAAAAAATTATTTAAATTCATACAAAAATTATACTTTTACATTCCACTTGACTAGAAAAATGAAAAAAGTAAAAATAAAATTTTAAAATGTCTAATAAAGATGAAAATTTTGACTTTTTGTACTTTAAGAAATAAAATTATTTAAGTACTTTTTTTCTTAAACAAAATTTAGAGTCCCCACTATCACAGGGGTGAGTTTGGCATCTAATTAAAAAAAAAAAAAAACACATTTTAGCTATAAAACAAAAAGATCATATTTTTATCATTTTTAGTTATTGCTATAGTATCTTCATATATTAATTTAGGAAAAATTACCCAAAAATTCCGTTTGGGAAAATGTTGGTTTATTTAATCATGGAAGTTTTTTTTCAAGCCAATTAGTCTTTTTATTTATGGTAGATTGTGGAGTTTACTTGTTTACCCTTAAATGTTATTTTAGTTGTGATTTTTTCCTAATGTTTGGGTGGGTTGGTGGTATGGTGTTAATTTTTTCATAATTTTGAAAGAAAACTTCCAAGACTAAATAGAGAAATATTTTCCCAAATGAAATTTTTGAATAATTTTTCCATAAAGTTATAAAAGGCATATTATATACGTTGTAACATTTACCTTTTGGCAAATGGTAATCTTGTGTTGTGTTGTGTTGTTTTTGATAAACTTGCGTGAACTTAAAGGTAAGTCTTATGGACCAACCATTTCTCTTATTAAATATTTACTATTATTATTATTATGTTGACTATATGAAAGCTACTCCAAAAAAATAAAATAAAAATAAAAATAAAACTTATGAAAGTTGCTTTAAGAGAATTTAATGTTCTTATAATGCCGTGGTTTTGGCTAGGTCGACCCTATTTATTTCAGCCGACTAAGGAGTGTTTGTTACACCTTAAATGATGATTTATTTTAATTGAAAAGTTTGTATTAGATTGTTTAGTGTAATTTTTATTTATATTTTATTAGGTGAACATAGTTTAAATAAGTTGATTATCTAAAAGTTGAATTCTACTTTTTTATTATCAGTTTTAACCTATAATAAACTGGACCAAACAAGACCCAAGGGAATATTTTGGATTTATTTTTTTAGATTTATTTTTTTGATTTTTAGTATAAAAAAAAATCATTTAAATTCATACAAAAATTATACTTTTACATTCCACTTGACTAGAAAAATGAAAAAAAGTAAAAATAAAATTTAGAATGTCTACTAAAGATGAAAATTTTGACCTTTTGTACTTTATGAAATAAAATTATTTAAGTACTTTTTTCTTAAACAAAATTTAGAGTCCCGACTATCATAGGGGTGAGTTTGGCATCTAATTAAAAATAACAAAAAAACACACATTTTATCTATAAAAAAAAAAGATCATATTTTTATCATTTTTAGTTATTGCTAAAATATCTTCATATATTACATTAGGAAAAATTATCCAAAAATTCCATTTGGGAAAATGTTGCTCTATTTAATCCTGAAAGTTTTCTTTCAAACCAATTAGTCTTTTTATTTATGCTATATTGTGGAGTTTACTTGTTTACCTTATGGTGTTAATTTTTCCGTAAAGCCCAGAAACTTCTGCTCTCTCTCTAGCCAAGAAACTTCTCCTCTCTCTCTCTAAAGATATATAACCATCTCTACATCTCTCTCTTTTTTCTCAAGAAACAAACAAACAATGGATCAGAAAGTTCTTCAATTAGAAACTCAAAAAATCACAAACCCAACAACTCTCTCGTAATGGATTGTGCAAGCGCACTCAACGACTCTTTCGAGCTCAAATCCATCGAATGCCAACTTCACTCCGCCATTTCTTCTAGAACCCTCTCCATTTCTCGCTTATCCGATCACCACCACCCGCCATCACTTTCGCCGCCGCAACAACCTCCACAACCCATCTCCAAAAAATCCTCAAAATTTTCTCGTTCGTTTCACAAACTTCTTCAATCCATTTTTGGCCCCAAAACAAGTGAAATCAGGATCGCAAGACCCATTTTTTGCTATTTTTGATGGGTCATGCCCGCTTTCAACCATTCCAGAAGTGTCAAAGAGTGGCAACGGAATTTTGCTGGAGTTAAGTTGATGGCGGCGGCAGCGGTGATAAAAAAGTTAGCCTTTGAGCAGTTCACCGTCACCACTTCAAATGGTATTTCATGTGCTTGAAAGACCCCCAAAAAAAAAAAAAAAATTATATTATTGTGTGTTCATATAGTATGTATCCACTTATGTGTGTTTTTAGAATGTTAATTATTATTTAATGAGTTTTAGTTGATTATAATGATTTTCAACTTTGATTTGTAATATGTGAATCTTTTTATTTTTTATTTTTTTTTTAGATTTGTGAATCTTGGTAATTATATGAAGAAAAAAAAAAGTTTTTTCTTTTTTTTTTTACATTAATTTTATACAAATTTTTACCAGAGTTGAATTTTTTTTTTTTTACCAGAATGATACGGTAGCAACGTTATAATCATTAACAATAATTTTGGTAAATTATTTATTTTCAATTAATAGGCCCACAATGCTGTTACGTTACTTTGTACAATTTTTTGAATATATATTTATTTGTATTATATTTCTCAAATTATTTGTATTATATTAGTCAAATTTTTACTTTGTACAATTATCATTTCATGTGTATTTTTTCAGAACTAAACCCCTCTCTCTCTCTCATAGCAACCATTGCAGCAGAACCATCATCAAATGAGGCCAACATTTTGGCCTTAGTGAGCTCTCAACCCTCTCCGACTCCAATTGCGCCGCCATTGGAGGACTCTGCTGGAAAAGAAAACCATGAGAGCCTCTCACAGTCTCAATCCGCCAAGAAAACTAAGAAAGCAGGGATGAAAGCAAAACAACAACAACAACAAAATCAATCATTTGAGAAGGAGTTGCAAGAAATGCACGAAAAGCTTTAACATTTGAGGATCGAGAAGGAGCGAACTGAGGAGCTATTGAAGGTAAGAGAGGAGACTTTGAAGATGAAGGAGGAGGAGCTTGAAACAAGGGGGAAAGAGCGAGAAAAGCTTCATACGGAGCTCAAGAAGTTGCAGAAAATTAAAGAGTTCAAACCCACCATGGTTCTTTTTGGGCCCCCCCCCCCCTCCCTCCTTTTTTTCCCCTCTTCAATACGATGTTTGGTTGCCAAGAAAATGTAGGAAAAATGAAAGAACTTTAGAAAGGGTAATTTTCCTACATTTTCTCAGAAACTGAACCCAGATTGATGGTTCAGAGTCTATGATTCTTGGTTTAGTTTTCCCTCTAAATTTTCCTACGTTTTCTCGAAAACAGAGTAGAGAGAAAGAGCTAGAAAAGAAAGACAAGAAGAAGAAAGGTTGCCTTCAAATGAAAAGGTCACCTCCACCTTACATCCTATGGCTCAAAGATCAATTGAGGAAAAGCAGGAAAGAAAAGAATCTGTTGAAATCGAAGCAACCAATGTATGCTTTTTTCGCGTTCACAACTGAAGCCATGAATTGAAGGAAGAGCAGTTCCTCTCTTACTTTGTTTTCAATTGAAGATACTACTCTTCATCCAACAATTTCATGGCTTCAGCTGTGAACGCGAAAAAAGCAAACATTGGTTGCTTCGGTTTTAACGGATCCTTTTCTTTCCTGCCCTTCCTCCATTGATCTTTGAGCAATAGGATGTAAGTGGAGGTGACCTTTTTTAGACCTTTGAGGCTGTGAGAGGCTCTCAAATGAAAAGGTCACCTCCACCTTATATCTTATGGCTCAAAGATCAATAGAGGAAGAGCAGGAAAGAAAAGGATCCGTTGAAACCGAAGCAACCAATGTCTGCTTTTTTCGCGTTCACAACTGAAGCCATGAAGCTGTTGGAGGAAGAGCAGTATCTTCAGTTGAAAACAAAGTAAATTCAGTAATTTTCTCTATATTTCTCTCTCGCCCCCTTCTTCTTCTTCTCTCTCTCTAATCTTTGTCTCATTGAATTACTACAGGAAAGAAAAGGATCTGTTGAAACCGAAGCAATCAATGTCTGCGTTTTTCATGTTCACAAATGAGCGAAGAGCAGCTCTACTTGCAGAGAGCAAGAGTGTCTGGGAGGTAATTGAAGAGGCCTCACGTTCAGTTTCTTGAATTCTTGTTATTGATCATACGCTAATTTGTAAAATTGGCATCGTTTGACAGGTTGCGAAGATCACAGGTGAAGAATGGAAGAACATAACAGAGAAACAGAAGAAGCATGAAAAGGTTCAATTAACTTTGTCTTTCTCTCTCAATCTCTCTCTCTCTCTCTCTGCAACAACAATTTCATATTTTGGGAACTTGCAGATTGCAAAGCAAAACAAGGAAAAGTATTGGAAGAAATGGAGGCTTACAAGCAGAGGAAGGAGGGAGAGTCTGCCAATCTCAAAAAAGAAGACGATGAGGTTTCACAAGCAAGAAGCCTTGCAATTGCTCAAGAAGAAAGAGAAAACCGATAACATAATCAAGGTTTGGCCTTATAACAATGAAATTGTTGATACCTTCTTGTGAAGCTTGGCTTTTGTGACCGCTAAATTATGTATGCTCTTGTTACAGAAAATGAAAGAGAATCACCAAAAGAAGAAGAAGATTGCTTATCCCAACAAGCCGAAGAAGCCCACATCCTCATTCCTTCTATTCAGGTCAGTCATTTTAAAATATGTTATAAGCGCCTATATATATACCTAACAAGATTAAAAGTAAATACCTAAAATTTTGGTCATTTTATTTTTGTTCACAATGCTGTTGGAATTGCTAGTAGTCGCGGATTAGCCATATGGCGGTGAATCAAAGAATTAGTAGACATTAACAGTAACAAAATGTAACCAAATTCGCTTTATGTTTTCTTATACTATGTTATTTTTGTTGATAATACAACAAAGAGGCAAGGAAGAACTTGTTGGAAGAGAGGCCGGGAATTAGTAACTCTACCCTTAATGCCCTCATTTCAGTGAAATGGAAGGTGTGAAATTTAACTGTCTGTTTGGGTAATTCTTTTTTTGAAAATGTAGAAAGTACTAAAAATTTTGGTTTTGTATTTGTAGGAATTGAGTGAAGAAGATAAGCAAACCTGGAATAAAAAAGTTGCAGGAGCCAAGATGGAATTGGAAGAGTACAACAAATCTGCAGCAATGGAGGAGGAAAACAACAACCCACAACAGTAAAAAGCAAGCTTGAATATTGATGAAGGTGGCTCTACTTCTGTCAATGTGTTCAAAATTATTTCTTTTCGTGTTAACATCTGTTAACTACTATTGACCCCCCTGGGCATGTTAACATCGTTGATTTTTACTTTTTTTTTTTTTGCCATTTGAATATTGAATCTCTAGTTTGAGATTGAATTAGTATGATGATTCAAAGTAGTTTGCAAAATCAACAAAGTTGTGTTTTCCAAACATTCCTACTTTGTGTGTTGAATTAATTTGATAATTCAAATCAAAGTAGTTCCCAAATCAATGAAATTGTTTTCTAAACATTCCAACTTGTAAAAGAATCTTCCAAGGAATGTTCAGACTACTATACAACAAAAGCTTAGACAATTCTTTTCGTATTTACATCTGATAACTACTACCTTCCAAGGAATGTTTAGACTATATAACAAAAGCGAAGTCAAATCTTTCCTATGCTTTGGGTCTTTTGCATATATCTAAAGAGTTATCAAGATTAAGATTGCAGATTTGCTTTGTTCAATCTAATGCCAAACAAGAAAAACTCATAGCTAAAAACTCATCATTTAGGCTTATAAATTTAGATTTTTCAGTAAGTATACGGACACAGTCATATAAAAATATGGGTTCCACACTCTGATAATATGCATAGCAAGATTATGTTGTTTTTCATCGTTTTAGTTCATTTTTCTACTATTTTCTCTAGTATTTTAAATTTGAAATTAACGCAAATTTGTATTTTTTCTTAATGTTGCTTTAGAAATTCACTACTTTGAATTTTCTCTAGTATTTTCACTATTTTGAAATTTACTCATTTCTTGTGACTCTTGAAATGGGTGAATTGTGTGGTGAATTTATGAATCTAAATGATGTGAGTTTTTCGATTCCATGTATCTTTAGGAAGAAATAGTTGCGGATGCAGTGTTGGGTGTCCAAACAATTATCATGCAGAGCATTTTTAATGGAGTAGTTAAAATTGTGGGTTAATTAATAAAAAATAATAAAAGTAAAACTCAATTTTGTGTGTTAAGAGCATCCGTAACATTTATTCTTTTTTGTTTTCATTAAATTTGAATAAAAACTTCATTTGATATCGAGCGTTCTAATAAAAAATATCATTTTTTATCAAACTACCGGTCGATCGGGAGGATGTCTGGCCCGTGGACCGATTAGTGTAAATTTACGGAAACTCTTAGGCCAGTCGTCCAGTATATGATTCTAATGGCTATCTACAATAACAATTTAAATTTGATGATTAAATTTGATGAAACAAAATAGGAACGTTGGAAAAGTACTATGTAGAGTTAAAACTCAGATCTTGTGGGTCAAGTTGAAAGCCATTTTTTAGGAATTTTAAATATTTTTCGTAATTAAAATGTGTTACGTGGATATAAAATTAAAAAAAAAAATAAAAGAAAAAGAAAAAAAGAGAAGAAAAAATTGTTAATGGCATCCCTTTTTCTCACGTTCGCTATAATAGGTGGTATTGAAACAAACTGTTGACACCATTAAATGTAAAAAAAATAAATGCAATTAATTGATATAACAAAGTGTTGAATTATTTAGTTCATTTATTTTATTTTTTAAATGTCATTTTTTCTTGGAAATTTCAACTAGCATCCATTTTTCTCATGTTCACTATAATGGGTATCGAAACAAACTGCTGACACCATTAAATGTAAAAAAATAAATGTAATTAATTGATATAACAAATTGTTGACTTATTTATTTTATTTTTTTAAATGTTATTTTTTTGAAGAAAAAATTAAAAATTAAAAACCATCCATTTGAGAATTAACTAGTTTAGTTTGATTTTTTTACTTTTTATGAAAGGATGGGCAAAAATAAAGAGAATGATATGACAACTTGTACTGTTTTTTGGCAAAAAACCAAAGTCCAAAACTATGGGTTATTTTGGAAAAATAAGTTAAAGAGGATTTTTTTTAAAGGTTCCTATTATTAGGATTTTATAGCATAAAAAACATGTAATATTTTTATAGTGATTGGGGTCCCTCAACATTTTTCCAGAGAAATTTCGACCCAGAGAAATTTCAATCTAGAGAAATTTTTTGCTCAATTTTCTTTGATTTTTTGTGTTTTGAAATTTCTCTAGGGGTTGAATTTTCTCTAATTTGCTTACAAATTTCTCTGTGATTTGCTCATAATTTTCTTTATGTATTTGACTAATTTTCTCTAATTTGCTCACAAATTTCTCTATGATTTGCTCACAATTTTCTTTATGTATTTGACTAATTTTCTCTAATTTGCTCATAATTTTCTTTGTGTCTTAACCAAACCAAAGAAAATTGTGTCTTTTCACAAAGAAAATTTACACAGTCCAAAGAAAATTCACACAGTCCAGAGAAAATTCAACCCGATTTGCTCACAACAACCAAACACAGTTCAAAAATCAATATCAAATGAAATAAGCAAAGTCGTGAAGAACAATTCGAGAAAGTAATTAATCTTCATACCGATTTCAACGCCAAGGCCTTGTATCCCAGAGACAATGATGTTTAAGACAAAAAGTCGCAGCATAGTCTCGCGTCCATACACAACAAGTTGACGACTGTGAAGATCCTCGTCGATCTTCAGCAGATTTCCATCTCCCAAAGCCATCTCCAGCACGACGCTACTGCTGGTGCTGCTGTGGTTACTGTTGTTGATGTTCCCCATGAAGTCAGCGTTGCTTTTCACGTTGCCACTCTCGTCTCCATCGTTCACAGTGGCAGAGGCCAAGCTACCGATTTGATGCTTCTTGTTCAGAGCTCAAATAGGTGAAGCAGAGAGAAAGAGCTAGGTAAGAGAGTGACCACGAGAGAGAGAGAGAGAGATATGGAGATGAGTGGGTTAGTGGTACAAAAATGGATGAGGAACCTTAATCATTATAAAATAATACTATGGATCTCTTCCATGACTAAAAATAGGATAGAGACTTTAGACTAATTTTCCTTAAGTTAAAAGCTGGCTTTCTAGTTTTTTTTTTTTTTTTTTTTTTTTTTATTTTCTCTAATTTGCTCATAATTTTCTTTGTGTCTTAACCAAACCAAAGAAAATTGTGTCTTTTCACAAAGAAAATTTACACAGTCCAAAGAAAATTCACACAGTTCAGAGAAAATTCAACCCGATTTGCTCACAACAACCAAACACAGTTCAAAAATCAATATCAAATGAAATAAGCAAAGTCGTGAAGAACAATTCGAGAAAGTAATTAATCTTTATACTAATTTCAACACCAAGGTCTTGCATCCTAGAGACAATGATGTTTAAGACAAAAAGTCGCAGCATAGTCTCGCGTCCATACACAACAAGTTGACGACTGTGAAGATCCTCGTCGATCTTCAGCAGATTTCCATCTCCCAAAGCCATCTCCAGCACGACGCTACTGCTGGTGCTGCTGTGGTTACTGTTGTTGATGTTCCCCATGAAGTCAGCGTTGCTTTTCACGTTGCCACTCTCGTCTCCATCGTTCACAGTGGCAGAGGCCAAGCTACCGATTTGATGCTTCTTGTTCAGAGCTCAAATAGATGAAGCAGAGAGAAAGAGCTAGGTAAGAGAGTGACCACGAGAGAGAGAGAGAGAGAGAGAGATATGGAGATGAGTGGGTTAGTGGTACAAAAATGGATGAGGAACCTTAATCATTATAAAATAATACTATGGATCTCTTCCATGACTAAAAATAGGATAGGGACTTTAGACTAATTTTCCTTAAGTTAAAAGCTGGCTTTCTAGTTTTTTTTTTTTTTTTTTTTTTTGACTTTTTTATATAAAATGTGTGAAAAAATAAAGAAGTGATATGACCCAAAATAAGTTAAAAGTCAAAAAGTAACTTTTTACCCACTTGCCAAAACAAGCCATGTTTGACAAGTGCTAAAAAAAAATCATTTTTTCCATATATTTTTTTCTTTGGGCTCGTTTGGAATGTTGGTTGGCTTTTTGGCATTTTAGCTTTTTTAGCCTAGGGCTAAAAAACCTCATTTGTGATAGACTTTTTGGTTTTTTTGACTTTTGTGAGAGAAAAATGAAATTATTATGGTTTGAATGTGACATTTTGTCTTATTGGGCTAAAAAACCTATTTGGTCTTTTTATAACTATTTTAGCCAAAAAGCCCCATTTAGCTTATGCCAAACGAATGCTTTGATTATTGTTATTATTATTATTATTACTACTACTACTTTTAGAATTTTTTATTCTAGAATGTAAATCAAAATATGTCACTACAGTTGTAAAAAAAAAAAAAAAACTAATCCCGACCTGACTTTTCTCAATAATAAAAAATTGTCTAAGCCTTTGTTTCGGATGTGGGTTGGCTTTTTAGCTTTTTAACTTTTTATTCTGGGGCTAAAAAGCCTCGTTTGAGATAGGCTTTTTGGTTTTTTTGACTTTTATGAGAGAAAAATTGAAATAATTATGGTTTTGGATGTAACATTTTGTTCTATTTGGCTAAAATAATCAATTTTGTCCTATATCGCTAAATTAGCCCAAACGGACGTGCCAAACAAAGCCTAAGGCATCAATTTCTTTAACAAAAAGATCTTTATATTAAAAATAAAATAAAATGAGTTCATAGATTAAGACCTTTAAACTGTCATGACGGCCTATTTTGGCAACATGGTTAAAAGTCAATTTTTTTATTTTTTTATTTTTTTAATCATATCATCTCTTTATTTGTTTTACATTTAAAAAAAAAAATTAAAAAAAATCAGTTTTTAACCTCCTTCCCGAAGTATGCATAAAAATTTTCAATTCCATATATCTTTAGGAAGAAATAGTTGTGGATGGTGGTGTCCAAACAATTACAATGCAATAGTTAAAATTATGTGTTAATTAAAAAAAAGTAATAACATTAAAAATCAATTTGTGCGTTAAGTAGAGTTTAAACTTATAGACCTTGTAAGTTTAAACTTATAGACCGTGTAAGTAGGGGTGTTCGTGGTTCGGTTGCGGTCAAGAATCCTTCAATCCACTATCCATCTGCTAGATTAGTGGATTGGAAAAAATCAATCCACATCCGTCCGCCGAATTGATGAATGCGGATTAGTGGATTGACGGATGGATGCGAATCGATTTAGAGGTTTAAACTTTTACAAATTTTGAATATAATACAATAACTTGTCAACATTGTTTTTAAATAATAATCTAACTCAACATAACCAAAAGATTATCAAGTAAATTGTTAAATACAAATAATAAATACATATAAGAAAATCATGTATTGTCAAAACTATTTCATTACTTTTTTTATTATTCAAAAACTATTTAATTTGATTTTTTTTTAAATGACAAAATTAAGCCTTATATTTTTCACACAAAAATATCAAATATCAACACTTGCCATTTGATAAAAGGATTTCCAAATTGAAAACATAACATAATATCTAAACTCTTTTCAATTGAAAATATAAACAGAATATCTAAACAAATGAAAAACACAAAGTCTGAAAAATTACTAGGGGTGCTTGCCGTTTGACGGTTTGGTTGCGGCTAAAGGTACCTCAAATTCGCCACTCATCCAAAATTAGGCGGATTGGAAAAAATCAATCCGCAACCGTCCGCTTATCATCATGCATCCGTCCAAAATGTGACAGATCGGTTCAGTTTGATCAATTTGGATGGATCGAAATATCCGCCGCTCATCCCTACTTGTAAGTCAAGTTAAAGGATTTTTTAAAGAATTTCAAACATTTTTCGTAATTAAAATGTGTTAAGTGAGTGAAAAATAAAAAAGAAAAAATTGTCAATCTCCACCCCTATTTGTTCTCTTTCTTCTTCTAGCACAGTGCATCAATCCCTCTCTCCTCCCACGTTCGCTTTACAATTCGCTATAATAGGTATCGAAACAAGCTACTGACCCCATTAAATGTAAAAAAATAAATACAGAGATTATTAATCAATTGCGGTCAACTAATTAGATACCACCATAACAAATTGTTCTTATTTATTTTATTGTATTTTTTAAAATGTCATTTTTTGAAGCCAAAAAAAAAGTTTAAAAATTAAGTGTTTGATTTGGCTAATTTAGACAACAATTTTTTTTTTTAAATTTTTATATACAAAACTAACCATGTTTGATAAGTGCTAAAAAAGTTACATTTTTCCCATATATTTTTTTCCTTTGATAAATTTTAATTTTCACAAGACCCGAGTCCGAAACACCATAAAGGTCGAGTTAGAAACCGGGATCGCTATATTGAGGATCTTTTATAGAACTTAAAAGGTAAATCAGAAAATGTCACTAAAGTTTAAAGAAATTCAAAATCCCACCTGATTTTTCTCAACATCTTTATATCAAAAATAAATAAATAAATAAAATGAACTCATAGATTAAGACCTTTGATTTGTCATTTGGACTAATTGCACTTTAAGAGTTCGTTTGGGAATTGATTATTTTAGTTAATTTTTTAATTTTTTTTTAAAAAATAAAAAATAATATGATAACTTATAATAATTTTTTTAAACTTTAATTTTTTTAATCTATTAACAAACAAGGCCTAAATGATCTTTTCACAAAGGAGAAATTTACAATGTGAACCCTTTTAAATGGTGCACATTATAAAAAAGTTATAATTTTTTATGTTGAATGTTATAATTGTTTGTAATATGTGTTATGATATTTTATAATAAAGTTATAAATAGTGAATTTGTGATGTGTACCCTAAAGTTAGGCATGATAATATTATGACATTTTGTGATTTTTGTTACGACACTTTAAGATTTTGTTATAACATTTTGGGTTTAAATTATAAAATTTTATGAAAAATTATAAAAGATATATCATATACACCTTTTTATGGGTGCACATTGTAACATTTCCTTTTGGCAAATGGTAGTCTTTTGGTAAACTTGCCTAAACTTGAAGGTAAGTCTTATGTACCAACCACTTCTCTCATTAAATATTTATTATTATTATTTTTATGTGAACCATATGAAAGCTACTCCAAAAAAATAAAAATGAAAATAAAAATAAAACTTATGAAAGCTGCTTTAAGAGAATTTAATGTTCTTAACGTGGTTTTGGCTAGGTCGACCCTATTTATTTCAGTCGATTAAGGAGTGTTTGTTACACCCTAAATGATGATTTATTTTAATTGAAAAGTTTGTGTTAGATTGTTTAATGTAATTCTTACTTATATCTTATTAGGTGAAAATAGTTTAAATAAGTTAATTATCTAAAAGTCGAATTTTTCTTTTTATTATCAGTTTTAACCTATAATAAACTGCACCAAACAAGACCCAAGGGAGTATTTCAGATTTATTTTTTTAGTATTTTTTTGATTTTTAGTATAAAAAAAATCATTCAAATTCATACAAAAATTATACTTTTACATTCCACTTGACTAGAAAAATGAAAAAAAGTAAAAATAAAATTTTGAAATTTTAGTATAAAAAAAATTATTTAAATTCATACAAAAATTATACTTTTACATTCCACTTGACTAGAAAAATGAAAAAAGTAAAAATAAAATTTTAAAATGTCTAATAAAGATGAAAATTTTGACTTTTTGTACTTTAAGAAATAAAATTATTTAAGTACTTTTTTTCTTAAACAAAATTTAGAGTCCCCACTATCACAGGGGTGAGTTTGGCATCTAATTAAAAAAAAAAAAAAAAACTCACACATTTTAGCTATAAAACAAAAAGAACACATTTTTATCATTTTTAGTTATTGCTATGATATCTTCATATATTAATTTATTGTAAATTTTAATATGCAACGATTTCTTTATATATTAATCTGTGTAAGTAAATTTTAATATAAATTTTGTTAATGATTATATATGCAAATTAAAATTGAGATTATTATTATTATTTTATTTATTTATTTATTTAAATATGTATAGAAGTTCCGTGTTTGAAATTCCCCTAGATGCCATTTGGAAAAGAGATTACAAGTTACTTTTTGGTTTTTACACATAATCTCTTTATTTTTTTACACATTTTAAAAAAAAAAAATTAAAAAAACTAAAAAAATTAACTTTTAACCTACTCATGTTTGAAATTCCCCTAGATGCCATTTGGAAAAGAGATTACAAGTTACTTTTTGGTTTTGACACATCACCTCTTTATTTTTTTACACATTTTTAAAAAAAAAAATAAAAAAACTAAAAAAATTAACTTTTAACCTACTTCCCAAAAAAACTCATAATCAATCTTACCTTTTGGTCAAAACTTACTTGAAGAGCACTTTCCATTTTATAAAGTTCGTAGTTGCAATTACTTAAAATATATAAAAATAAAAAATAAAATCAACTTAATTTTGTCTTAATAGAACTTTTTTCAAAAAAAAAAAAAAAAACTCATAAAATTTTAAAAATAATATAATAAAATAAAATAAGTCAATTTTTTTTTAGCTAAAAAACCATAAATCAAATAAGTTTACGACTAGTTACCCAAAGTAATGAAAGAATAGATTACATTTTCATATGATCTCCTCTTATAAATAGACTAAAAAATTGAACATTCTTCTTTTTTTTAATCACTTCTCCCCTTTTTTCTTTAACCCAGAATACATATAAATAAATAATTTTTTTATAAAATTTACAAATTAGGTTCAATTATAAAAATAAAAAATAAAAAGTCATATTATATTTTGTATTTGATAACGACGACAATAAAATCTCATTTTTAGTCATAATTAACGCGTTTGAACCTACCTACCTTTTAGATAAAGCCAAGAAACTTCTTTTCTCTCTCTCTCTCTCTCTAAAGATATATAACCATCTCTACATCTCTCTCTTTTTTCCCAAGAAATAAACAAACAATGGATCAGAAAGTTCTTCAATCAGAAACCCAAAACAATCACAAACCCAACAACTCTCTCGTATGGGATTGTGGAAGCTCACTCTACGACTCTTTCGAGCTCAAATCCTTCGAACGCCAACTTCACTCTGTCATTTCTTCTAGAACCCTCTCCATGCCTCGCTTATCCGATCACCACCACCTGCCACCACTTCCGCCGCCGCAACAACCACCACAACCCATCTCCAAAAAATCCTCAAAATTTTCTCGGTTGTTTCACAAACTTCTTCGATCCATTTTCGGGCCCAAACAAGCGAAAGCAGGATCGCAAGATCCATTTTTTGCTCTGTTCGACGGGTCGGGCCCACTTTCGACCATTTCAGAAGTGCCGGAGAGTGGCAGCAGCGACAGGATTTCGCCGGAGTTTAAGTTGGTGGCAGTGGCAGTGGTGATAAGAAAGTCAACCCCAATTATGTCTGTTTTTAGAATGTTGTTAATTATTATTTAATGAGTTTTAGTTTATTATAATGGTTTTGAACTTTGGTTTGTAATATGTGATTTTTATTTTATTTTTTATAAGATTTGTGAATCTTGTTAATTATATGAAAAAAAAATTTATATTAATTTTATACAAATTTTTACCAGAATGATACGGTAGCAACGTTATAATCATTAACAATTATTTTGGTAAATTATTTAGGGTTCGTTTGGGAAGTAGGTTGGCTTTTTGACTTTTTTGTGAGAGAAAGAATGTAATAATTATGGGTTGGATGTAATGTTTTGTTTTATTGGACTAAAAAACCTTCTTTTTTTTTTTTGTGTGTGTGGCTATTTTAACCAAAAAAACCCCAAACCTAACTTCCCAAACGAGCTCTTATTTTGAATAATTAGGCCCACAATGCAGTTACGTTACTTTGTACAATTTTTTTTGTAGACTAATGTTTGGGGCCTCAACAAATTAAGGCTGGAATGCCTCCATTTTTAGACTAATGTTTGGGGCCTCAACAAATTAAGGCTGGAATGCCTCCATTTTTTTTTTTCTTCCTATTTGTTGGGTTGTGTTGATTTGGTTGTTGTTGTTGTTTTTTCTGCATAAACAATATCAAAGTCATTTTAATTTCCTCCGAGTCTTCTTGATTTAAAATAAAAATATAATAGAGATTCGTACAAAATTATATAAAATTAATAAATTTTAACCAACAGTCTAACTAATCAGTCAATTTTATTTCTTAACCAGCCCAACCCAACTCACTCACCTTATCAAACCACACAGGCTGAGTTAATGCGAGATGTCTTATTTTTTAACACACCTCTACACATAACCACCTTTTAACAAAAACAAAAAACCAAAAAAAAAAAAAAAAATTCGAAGCATTCGTGTCTCGATTTGTCGAGACCCCTAGCACTGCTGTTATTTGTATTATATTAGTCAAATTATATGTGTGAACTCGTTTCATATGCCTTTTTTTTTTAATAGATAGTGAACTCATTTCATGTGCTTGAGAGACCTATAAACTTTGACTTGTGAAATAATATAATCTATTATGTGTGAATAGTGTGTTTGTAATTATGTGTGCATTTTAGAATGTAGTTAATTATTATTTAATGAGTAGTGGTTTTGAACTTTGGCTTATCCTATATTGATATGGATGTTTTAAAGTATATAAAATTGTTGAGGTCAATTTTTAGTTAGAGGTTCGGTAAGGAACAGATGAAATGTCTTGGGTGTCATGTGAACCATCTTACCAATAAAAGGGGGCATTTTGATCATCAAACATTTTTTTTAAAACTTTTTTATTTTAGTTATTGATGGAGAATTGCAAATAAACTTGAGATACACATGATCATTTTCAAATTACACATATATTAAGATTAAGTAGTTTATGTCTCATGAGAATTGAACATGAGATTTATTGAAACAATAATGTTATATGCACAAAATTAAAACATAAAATGGTGAACAGACCCACATAACACTCAAGATAGTTGTCAAATTGCTTATTATAATTTTTGTAAATTACACTTCCATATAATATATATATATAGTTAGTGATTTCTATTTGAAAGATTCCAGTTGATCATATGGCATCTGTGTTCTTGTTCATATATGTTGTACTTTGTGTCATGTGTTGAAGGTCTTCTAATTTGAGATAGGTATACCAAATTGTTCAATAAATTGTTCACATATATTAATTTCACTCCTTTTGTGTGTGGGGGGTAATAATCAGATGTTCAAATTAACTTGTGCTTAATTCTAAGTGCTTAAAGTTAATTTCACTCACTTCTCCTATTTGGTTATCGAATCTTTCCACTCTCTCTAAGATAATTTTTGGATTATAAATTTAAGTACAGATTTAGAAAAAGACGGAGAAAATGTGAAAAATATGAATGAATTATAAGTTTTTGTTTCTCCTTTTTTCATTCACTTTTTGAATTCATAATCCAAATATAGCATAAGAAAAAAATGTGTTATCTTTAGACTATAAAAATTTCGAGTGATATAAAGGAATATTATTATCACTATTTCAACGTTGTTTTTTTTAATTTTTTTTCCGAATTTGTTCAAGCAGGGTGTGATATCGTTTTTTTTTAATTATTATTTAGATTCATATAATATTCAAAAAAAATAATTATTATAATTAGTTTGCTTGTTTTCATTTTTCAAAAAATACTTTTCAGAAAATTCTATTTTCTTATTTTTCGTGTTTTTTGTTTTTACTGAATTTTTTTAATATTTTAAGCAATTTTTTTACTTTTTAGACACACCTAACATAAATACAACTAAAAAGTAAAAAAATCTTTTAAAAATTCACTAAATACCAAAAATACAAAAAAAAAATATATAAGAATTCAGAACATTTTTTGTATTTTTATGTATTTATTAATTTTTTAAAATATTTTTTCACAATTTTTTTACTTTTTAGATACATCTAACTAAGGTGCATCTAAAAAAGTAAAAAAAATGTTTAAAATTTTAAAAATATTTACTAAAAATAAAAGAATATGAAAACAAAAAAACTCAGTTTTCAAAAAACTTAATCCAGAAAACTCAAACCAAACACACTAAATGGTGTGTTTCATTATTTTTTGAATTATGATAAATTTTACATATACCCATTGAATTAATTCATTTAAGAGAACATATCATATCATTTTCTAAAGGGTTATTTACATTTTTAGTAATCCTACCATCCTAAAAAAGAAAAAAAAAATCAGAAAAATATTAGAATTTAATGTCAGTGGTCAAGATTTACTTAAAATATTAACTTACAACAAAATTTTAAAATATGTACCATAAATTTAAATATTTTTCTGGTACCCACAAACTTTTTGAACTGTGATGGGGAAATGTAAATTTTTTTTTTTTTTGGCCAACGAGGAAATGTAATGGTTGGTTCTTACTTTAATCAGCCACTTGTGATTTTAGTACACAATTCTAGTATTTTTTTATTTTTTATTTTTTTTTCCATATTACTTGCCATAATTTGGATCCACCCTTGTAAAAATTCCCTAAAATGGAGGGAACTGCAAAATTAAAAATATATATATAAATAAAAATAAAAATAAAAATAAAAATAAAAATAAAAATGAATGGCTCTGATACGTAACATCTGATTTTGAAGCTATAGGGGTTGAGAAAAGTGATAACGACACATCATGTGCCAATAGTTAAGAACCTGGGCCAATAAAAACTAATGTGATATATATGGAAATTAATACTACTCTCTATGAAATTTGAATTATATATAAATCGACATATGCTCTAAGGGATTCTCCAATTCTCATTTGGACTAGACAAAAATTGTTGGGACTCATGGAATCTATTACGTGCCTTGTTTTGATAATTTGAACCATTAATTTTTTGAAACTCTTCGTATATATTATTCATAAAAAAAAATTAAGTCGATTTGATAATTGTAACATCTTTTTTTTATTGTTTTTGTCTTAAAAAAATGAATGTTATATTTTCAAAAGGACACTTGCCGTTTATTTATTTAGCGACAACATAATAAAATAAATATGTTACGATTATTGGATTTATCTAATTTTTTTTATGGATAACATACACAAAGAATTCTAAAAAACCAATAATTTAGATCATTGAAATATAACCTATAGTGAGTCCCATATGTCTAAACAACGCCTCTCCAATCCAGATGAGAACTGGGGAGAAATCTTTCCCATTTTGTAATTAGTATGAACAGAGCCACGAAAAGTTCTAAAACCAAATTATAATATGGTGACAGATTTCTCTGTCTAAAAGTATATTCCTTATTGAAATTTTATTTTAGCAAATGACATTGTCGTCATGTCACTTTGTCAATAGTTATCTTTAGTATATTCCTTATTTATTTTATTTTTTTTTTACTCATATTTTTTAACCAAATAAGGATTTGTTGGTGAGGCACAAAAGTTACCATGCATGTAGTGGATCTAGAGAAAAAATCAGAGAATATTTAAAGGCTGACAATGTTTGGATTTTGAAATTCTATAAGTTTTTATAAAATTCTTAAAATTTCTTTAAAATTTCATGTAAATTATTTTTCTAAACCAAATGAATAAAATCAAACCATAACATATTGTCTATGTCGATTCTTCAATCGTCAAAATTAAAAAATTTAATTTGATACTAACCTTTCTTTCATTATTGGCCGAACTGAATTGTTTACACCCACCAATACTGTTTGAAAGGCCCGTGAAGACCCCTTCTGAGTGCTTTCACAAACCTCATAAAATTGTTGAAGTTCATCTAAACTTTAATGTGAGAGTTAATGAGAAATTACTGAATGGGCCATGCTTGGTCCAATTGAGTTTGTTTTGTACCAAGATAGGAAAAAGAGTTTTTTTTGATAAATCTCATTTCTAAGAGTTTTATTCTATTTAACCCATATTCTTTTTTATTATTTCATTAGATCCTATTTGAAGTAAGAAGACAAAAACACCCTCAATCTCTCATGCCCCTATTAATGTTGATATTTAATGTTGATTGTCATTATGTTTTGGTAGTTTCCCATGCATCAGGATGTTGACTGTCATTATATTCACATTAATTTGAAAATGAATTTTTGTTATTGTGTTGTCAATTACATCATGTAAATATTCATAATAAAACATAGGAATGTGAATGTTCACATGAATTCTGGAATATAGACAAAGACACCATGATCATGGCGACATGTGTGAAAGTTCACAATGGGGCAAAAAAATGGACAATATTAAGTAGAAATATATACTTTTCAATGGTAATCTTCATATTATATCTACATACAAATGTTAATGTTCACAATGTTATATCAATATGATCATGGTGATACGTGTGAACGTTCGCATTGGGGCAAAAAAAATGGACAATATTAAGTAGGAAGGCATACTTTTCAATGGTAATCTTCATATTATATCCACATACAAATGTTAATGTCCACAATGGTAATGTCGAGGTTCACATTTGTGATGACCGAGAACACAACCCGTCTCATTTTTCTTTCGTGCGTGTTGGGATTCAACTTG